AATTTAAACCATATACAAAAATAATAAAATTTATTTCTTTTTTTATTGTTTATTTTCTCAACTCAATTTTTACTATATTAGGTATTTGTCATACATGAGTACTCATGAGTAATATCCCTACCCATATGTTGTGATTTTGATTTCATTGGCTAAATTTTATTGAAGATCTTTTACAAAAACAAAATTTTAAAGGTTGAAACTAATATAATTACCTTAAGTTGAATTTTATTAATAAAAAAAAGTATATATAAATTATAAATATAATTTAAAATTATTACACAAAAATCATTCAATAATATTGTTTCTTTTACAACAATTAAAATCCCTATTATTATTAAAAAATGTCTCAAAATATAAATTATTGTCAAGTTTTGGATTGTGAGTCAAACAACGATATCAGAACATTTACACCTGGTGCCAAAAAAAAAACTGAAGAAAAAAAGACACTCTCTATGTATAATTATCTTAATATTGGTGATACAATATGTCTTAAACATTATTTAATGATTGTAGAGCCAGACAGGAATGTTAAAAAAAAAAAAAATCATCAAATTTTTACCAAACTAATTTGTCTGATTTATTAAAAAATAAAAATGATAATTTTTCAAATAATTTTGAAAATTGGTCAGATATAAAAGTTGATATGATGAATGATAAACCAAATTTAACAAAAGATAATTTTGATCTTTTATTGCAAAAAATATCTAATATGGAGTCAGAATTGAATGTTTATAGAAATAATCAAATTAGTAAATCTAATAAATTCAGTTATAAAATTAAAATTTTATCTGATTCTTTATTTTATCTTCAAAGGGATTTTAATTCAAATCTTGAATTAAATCCAGATAAATTTAAAATAATGATTGAAAAATATCAACCTATATTAATTGGATTTTTTGATGAATTAATTGAAATGTTTGTGCCAACTAATAGATCTGAATTTAATAAGGAGAATGCTAAAAAAAATGTTGTTGTATTTTGTTACTTGTTAGCTGGTTTGAGAAATAAGTTTATTAATTTTTTACAACTTGAAATTGGATTATACTTATCATCATCTGGAGCAACAGTTGAATCAATAGACTTATTGTCAAAAATGGGTATATCAGTAAGCTACAAGACTGTAGAAAAAAAGACTTAAACAAAAAATTGAAACTGATCACCCTAATAAAATTAATGATTATTTATTATATAATGTAATTAATAATTTAATATATGTATATATTATTAAATATAATTTTTAAATATTACTAATACTTTTGTGTATTTATAGTCAGGAAAATTATTTTGTTTTAACTTGGATGATTATCATTCAATTCACTCTTTCAGAGCACCAAATACTACAACATTATCAACTGCCCATCATATGGCAACATGCACAGTTAAAACTATTGAAGATAGTGAAAGGATATTAATCATTAATAATGAAGTTCATATAAATAACCAAAAAATATAGAGGCCTTAAGAATTATAAAATATCTACACAATGAACATATTTATTATTTAGAGGACAGTTATAATATTAGAAAGTCATGTTGGTTACAAAACAAAAAAAATTTGTTTGATGGTTTTAATATAATAGAGCTTTTAACAGCTCATTATGCTAAAAAATGATAGATCAATGAAAAATACACATATAATTAACATCAAAAAACAAAATCTTAAAAGTTTAGATGATTACCTTGAAGCTTTAAAAATGATAACAAGTATTCCTACATTGAATGAATATCTTCAACATTATGTGATTCCTATTGTTGCAGATTTTCCTGGGCAGTTATTTATTTAAAGAGCTGTATCATTATATCAAAAATCAATGAATGATTCTCCAAATAATTTGAAGATCCCCAAAATTATTAATAGCTTTATTCCTCTTCTTGGACCATTACATGTCTCTTTAAATATGAGGGAGTCAACAATTTCAACTCATTGGAATTTTTTTGAACAACTATATAAATTTGTTTTTGGAAAAAATAAAAAAAACCAATGCCTTGGAAAATAAATACTCTTTTAGATTTATATTGGAAAAGAAAAGAAAAATTCTTTACAACTTGCTTGGAGTTATTTTACTGATGAAATAAAAGATATAAAATCAAATGGATATATTGATCCAGATAATTTCATTGGGATGTTGAGTTTTTTATTTCAGCTGATTGTAAATTTCTTCAATTAGTTCATGGAATCAAAGCTCCCACCAGTGAATATTTTTGTCTTTGTTGTGATTGTTCAAAGTTTCAAAGAGCAAATATGAATATTCAATGGAGTAACACTTATAATACAAAAAAACAAAGTAAATATTTAAGTTTATATTATTTTTATTTAAATTATAAAATTATATTAACAATAATTTTTAAATAGGTTTTAATTATGATTGTTTATTGCCTATGTTTGATCATAAAAACTGGATACCAGATGAGTTGCACTTAATGCTTAGAATCAGTGATATATTATTAGAATGTTTATTTTCAGATCTTTGTAGAAATTTAAAAAAATTTGAAAATGAGATGGCTAATAGAATAATCAAAGAAACCAGAAGAATTGGAATAACCAAATTTGAATTTTATGATTTAAAAAGTTCTATGGATCAGATAAATTGAAATTTTTAGAATTTTTTCTTGTTTCTAAATTTTATAATAATGAAAAGGGGATTAACATAGAAAAAATGTGGAGAGAATTTGTATGTTTGTATAAATTAATTAGAAAAACTGCATTGAGTGATATTGAAGTAGATAATTTTCAAAAAGATGTTAAACAAGGATTAAAACATTTACTAATATATATCATAGTGAGGATGTTACTCCTTATATGCATGTGTTTGCCATGCATATACCACAATTTTTAAAAGAATTAAAAAATCAAGCATTATCATTGCGTTTGTTTTCTTCTTCAAGTGTAGAAAAAAAGAATCATCATCATGTGAATATAATATTTCCTTTATTTTTTTTTTTTAAAAAAAAAAGATTTTATCTTTTAATAGGATAGATAATAAAAAAAATTTTCTTGAAAAAAAAGCATTGCAAAAACGTTTTCAGGAAAAGGTTCCAAAATGAATTCCTTAACACCAACATGATGTCTATTGAATCCCAGTTTATTTTGAATGTTGATTATAATACAGTCTGCCCTTGTTTCAACAAAGTGGCTGGACATATAAGAAAATTTTATTCAACATTTGTTGAAACAAGGTTACTAATCGTGTTTCAACAAATTTTTATGTTTTCATAATGTGTAACAACTTTTTTAAAAATTCGTTGTATCAAAAATTTAATTATACTTTGTTGAAACAAGGTTCGTTAAAACAAGGGTTCACTGTACATTGTTTTAATTCTTCTATATCATTAGATGATGATAAAACTGAAAAATGTGGAATTATTTTGTTGAATTTATGATATTTGTTTTCATGATTCCTTAATGTAATTTTTGATTTCAACCATTTACCACATAATATGCAGTTATATTTATTACTTATTTGTTCTAATACCACTGGTGTTGGTTGATAAGGTGGTGTTGATGTTGATTCAGGAGATGATGACAAAGATGTTATTGATTGAGACAACAATATTGATGATGTTGATGTTGATGATGTTGATGAAGATGTTATTGATTGAGACAATAATATTGATGATGTTGATGTTGATGATGTTGGTTGAGACAACAATATTGATGATGTTGAAGGATGTGGCACAATTGCTCTAAATTTCATTCTATTAATTTTAATTGTTAATGTGTATATGAAAAAATGTATTAAACCCTTTAACATAGATTAATAATGACCAATGAGTTCCACTTCTTGGTTGATTTACATTTAAATTGTTATTTATTATCAAATTAGCCCATATGGTGAATTTGCAATTCACATATGTGGAATTCAAATTTACATATGTGAAATTCAAATTGGCCAATCAGAATTTCACCCCATTCCATAATATTTCAATTTCTCAATTTCGCAGATCATCTATACTCAAAAGTTAAAAAATTTGAAATATCATGTGATCCACATGTCTGATTTAAAAAAAATACCACTATTCAACTCAGCTTTAAAAAAGGAGTCTATTAATGTAAAAAAAAATTTGTCTCAAATTTTTTTTTGTGGATTTTTCAAATTTAGGATTTAGCAGTCGATGTGCAAATCCTAAAAATTAAGGGGCAGGTCATTTTGCCAGAAATTTTGGCTGATCAACATTGAAATTTTACTAATAAAAACTTGAATTGAATGTCTTCAGTCCCTTATTTTATACCCTTGCTTTGTATCAATTGTCACCAAAATTTCCACATTGTTTATTTTTCATGTTCTTTATTTTGTAAAAAATTTTCAAGTGAGGTTAATAAAAGAGCGGAAAAGAATCAAGGTCTCAAAGTTTTTTTTGTCTTTGTGTGACAATAGAAGATTCATGTCTTGCAAGTAAACTTGTAAAACTAGTGAAGTATTTAAATATTTTAAACATTACAATTATATTTAAAGAAAATTTAAATAATGAATAGTTTGACAAATAAATTATTAATTTTATTTTTATTATTTACATTTTTATTATATTTCTTTGTTATATTAATTACACAGGAAGGATGTTCGTTAATAAATACTTGTCATGTATTTATAATCGATTATTATATATATAGTGCAGGACACCTAGTCCCTACAAACTACTGCGCCACAGCGACAGATTTGGGAAAAAATTCCCAATCAGAAATGCAATAAAATTTTTACAATCACATGTTTTATGAAGATTGTCAAAAATAGATTTTATGTATATATAATATATAGATCAAGATACTCCCAAAATTAACTTGATGTGGATTTTTTAAACAATTCCACAACACAATAAAATTTGCAAAATTTAAAATTTTTTACTGTTATGAATGCATATATATATATATGATACCAAAGAATATCTATGAAGATTAGAATGGCCCGATAATGACATGCATGATTGTGTGATATACATAAAAAGCCCACACACTATATTAATATGTCACGTTGCATTCTCTTATTATTATCACGTGATAAAAGATCTGCAACACAAATTTCAAAATTTTCAATTCTTCCAATTTGTTCATTTTTAACATAAAAAATTTGTGTGTAACACGTCATTTTGGGGGGTTAACATAGTAAATTTGTTAAACTTGTGCAACTTTAAGGCTTAATGCCTCCACAACAACATAACATATCAACAAAATGAAAATGTCATTTTGTAGAGAAAGGTCTTAGCTTCAAAATGACATCTTTCTTTTTTGGTGTTACATTTCCATTTTTGGAGTCATTAAAGGATCTGCAAGACCAATAAAAGTTGTAGAGACTAGGTGTCCTGCACTATACTCATTATTTGTGTTAATTATATATTATATTATTAATTTGATTCTTTTATTATAGATATAAATAATTAAATAG